CCAAAATCTCTAAAACGCTACTACGACCTGTGTCGCAAAATTACTTCATTTTTTGTTTTGAATCTATATAAACTAGAAAGGTAGCCTGCGCAATGCGCGGGCATGTATTTTATATTGCGTTTGAAAAACTTGTATAAACGAAATATCACCTGTATGAAACTACCATGTTTCAAAAGTACTATTTCTCCATAATTTGTCCAAACTTTTTGTTACATTTTAAAACATATAATATTTAATTCATTCATATAAACAATTATCTATGGTCCGTAGAAAAACCTGCCATGTTTCAAAAGTATCTATTTAATTTAATTTGTTTGGAAAACAATCTACAAATTAAACGTAAATTAAAAGTACAATGTTTTGTCTTGTTTAATTGAATGTTTAGTGGTATTTTTCAACAAATATATAAACTCGTTATGTTTTTTTTCCATATAGAAATTAGCAGCATGGGATTTTTAATAGTTCTAAACTAATATTTAAAATAACGGGTCCACCAATTTAAGTAGATGCTTTTCTTTTTTCTATGAATTTCTAGGATTTCTCTAATTTATTATAGCATGGCGTGACGACGTAAGAGTATTTGTAGGATGTTTAATATACTTTTAGTATATAATAAATTTCTAGGATTTCTCTAATTTATTCGATAGACACATAGCGGCGTAAGAGCGTTCGTAGTAAGTTTAACGTAATTTTAGTATATATAGTTGATAGATAATAGATATATTTATAAGATGTTTTACAGAACATTGATTGGATATTTATTATATATCTTAATTTAACAAAATATATTTATATTTATGAAGTAAATATATTTTATCTTTATATTGTAGAAAATCATTATTTAAAGACCGTAACATTAGGAAAGCTTTATTGTTTTATTTTCAATACGTACGTACGTACGGAAGAACAGTAGATACGTTTTGTATCGTATATAAACTCTATGGCTGAACAGTAGCGTTTGTATGTTATATAAATACGTGCACATGTGAGGAGGGTGAAGTGCACGGGAATTTTTTTTCTAAATGATTTAATTGAAAACTGAAGAGCCTTATTTTGTCAAAATTTCTAATTTCCTTTTTTTAAAAATTTTAGGATGTAGCACATGATGGCTTAAGATTACGGGTACACATGTGAGGGGAGGGTGAAGTGCACGGGAATTTTTTTTTTCAAAATGATTTAATTGAAAACTGAAGATCCTTATTTTGTCAAAATTTCTAATTTCCTTTTTTTTTCTAAATTTTAGGATGTAACACATGATGGCTTAAAGTTCTATAATTATATCTATTGGTTAAAAATAATGGATCCACCTATTAAGTGAAACTTATGAGTAGATATAATTTCTTACAATTTCTAAGGTTTTGTTTTTAATTAAGACGTGCGCTACAGAGGATATACAATGATTTGAGGTGATATATTACTTATTGTAATTTTTTTATAATACTTATTTGGTTAGTAAATAAAACTATTTGTATGATCAAGTTAGTTCTCTTTTTAGTTGGTTCAGATTCACGCAAGTTGTTACATACTTACATATAAATTAACAAACTTATATCACATATCCTCGCTTCCTTGTAATATTTATGATCTATAGTATCTCTTCTATGAGAAAATATAGTCAACATGAGTCCAAAAATTTAAATTTAATAGTAACAAATATGTAAGCATTAATATGTATAGGATAGATGCAAGGCCATTAATATGTAAGCATTTAAAAATTATTATAAAAAGGGAACATGTAATGGTTGGTCCAATTTTAGTGCAAAGTACAAACTTATTTGATTTTTCTCCAAATAGTTCAATTTAGTGCCTATTGATATGTTATTTTTTTTTGTTTTATTTTATACCAGCTCAAAATATAGGGGTTATGGATCTTTAAATTATTGATTTAGTTATGAATAGAGCAATAGTTAGATTAGAAATCATATGTTCAACTTAAAAAATAGAGAAAATCCCTTGTATACCCATGAAAACTTACCTAATCTCTTGTATACCCTCCAATTTTACTCGATCTCCTGTGTACCCCCGAATCTTCGCTCTAATCCCCTCCATACCCATCCCGTTAGGTTTCCGTTTGATCTGTAGCGTGACCTGTGAGTTACATTGTCAGTATTTTCAAAAAATACCAAAATGCCCCTGCCAGCCAACCCTAGGTAAACAGATCGAATCCCCTTCTCTTCTCCCCCCATCCTCCGCACGCCGCCAGTCTCCAATCGCGCAGCCGCGTCACCGGCATGCCACCCTCCCGTCGTGCGGTGGGGCGCCGCCGTCCTCCCGTCGCGCGGTGGGGCGCCGCCGGTTCCTGCCCTCCCATGTGCGATGGGACGGCGGGCGCTCTGCCGGCCCCCGCCGGCCGCCACCCTCCCGTCGCGCGCGCCGCTGTCCGCCGTCCTCCTGTCGCGCGGTGGGGCGCCGCCGGCCCCCGCCCTCTCGTTGCGCGGTGGCGCGGCGCCAGCCCCCGCCCTCCCGTCGCGCGGTGGCGCGCCACCGGCCTCCTGTCGCAGGCACCGCCGGCCACCGTCCTCCTGTCGTGCGGCCAAAGTCCGATACCCTCTCGTCGCTGCGCCACCTAGCGTGGCCCTACTGGTAGGAGTAGCAGCAATTTTCATTTCTTCTTCTTGCAATTTTCATTGTTGTTTGCTGTTGTGATGCCTTACAAAGTGTTTAACATATTTGATCTGTCATTTGCAACATTTGTGTATGGAGTGGAAAGTTGGTTTGGTTCCTGCACTATTGGGTATGGAAATGAAATTGTGTTATGTGCATCATATGAGCTGTTCTGTATGGATGATGAAAATAAAATTGATATGAAGTGCTCTGTATAGATGATGAAAATAAAATTGATATGAAGTGCTCTATATGGTTGCTACTATTTTGATTGATGATCTATGATGCTCTTATTGATCCAGATTATTTTGTTTCACAGATTTTCTCCTTTGTCCACATTCCTGTTGAGTGTACCAATTTTTTTTACAAAGCAAACTGATGTCACTTTGATTTTCCAACCTATTATTTTTTAAAAAAACAAATCGTTCGATGGATTGCATTTTTTTCCAATACCACAGTAAAAGTTTTAAACTCATTATTAGTCTCATAAAAAACATATTATGTGCGGTCAACATATTCCAGTTCTTTTCCAATCTACCTGCAGTTGCTCCTCCATCTACAAGGGCATTATGGACATTTGCAACCACACATAACTGCAAAATGAAGAAAACCTAACGGGAGGGGCATGGAAGGGATCAAAGTGAAAATTCGGGAGTACAGAGGAGATCGTGTAAAATTGGAGGGTATAGAAGAGATTGGACAAGTTTTCATGGGTACACAAGGGATTAACTCTAAAAAATATGCATGTTTTAATAACATTATTGATTTTCTCGCTATAAAAAAGGGAGGGTAGAGGAGAGAGTGGAGATCTTGAGGTGAGAGGACGGGTAGTGCTGTGTTGTGCACATGTGAGGGGAGGGTGAAGTGCATGGGAAATTTTTTTTTTTCTAAATGATTTAATTGAAAACTGAAGATCCTTATTTTGTCAAAATTTCTGATTTCCTTTTTTTTTCTAAATTTTAAGATGTAACACATGATGGTTTAAGATTCTAAAATTATATCTATTAGTTAAAAATAATGATCCACCTATTAAGTGAAACTTATGAGTAGATATCTTTTCTTACAATTTCTAAGGTTTTGTTTTTAATTATGACGTACATGTGATGTACGTCTTAAGTGCGCTACAGAACATATACAATGATTTGAGGTGATATATTACTTATTGTAATTTTTCATAATGCTTTGTTTCTTCTATTTGGTTATGATGCATAAAGGATAGGTGGGCAAGCTCAGGTGGTGTTAATTTTTATACAGTGAAATATGAGTAATATGGATCTTAAATTATTTACTTAATTATAAATACATTAACAATTCAAATAAACTTTGAAAAATCAGATGTGACATAAGAATCATACTTATTTAGCTTTTGTAATTATTGATCATTTTTATATTATGTTGTTAATTAGTTAAGAATTATAAGACAGAAGAGTTGAGTGAGAGAAGAGAAGAAGAGAAAGTACGCACACATATAATTATGTTTTATACATTTTATAGTGTTTATTTATATGTTATAGTTAGCTATAAATTTAGTCATAAATAAATTAAAAGATATAAGTGGATTAAAAAATAGTGGTATAGGCTGTGTTTAGTTGTTTGGCCAAATTTCTTTTTAAGTATTAAACGTAGACTAATAAAAAAACAAATTACAAATTCCGCCTGTAAACTGCGAGATGAATTTTTTAAGCATAATTAATATTTCATTAGCAAATGTTTACTGTAGCATCACATCTCAAATCATGGCGCAATTAGGCTCGAAAGATTCGTCTCGTAATTTACATGTAAACTGTACAATTAGTTTATTTATATGTTATAGTTAGCTATGAATTTAGTTATAAATAAATTGAAAGATACAAGCAGATTAAAAATTAGTGGTATAGGCTGTGTTTAGTTCTTTGGCCAAATTTTTTTTGAAATATTAAATGTAGACTAATAAAAAAACAAATTACAATTACAGATTCCACCTGTAAACTGCGAGACAAATTTATTAAGTCTAATTAATCTGTCATTAGTAAATGCTTATTGTAGATTCACATCTCAAATCATGGCGCGATTAGGCTCGAAAGATTCGTCTTGCAATTTACATGCAAACTATACAATTAGTTTTTTTTGTCCACATTTAATGGAGCTCCATGTATGTGTCCAAATATTTTGATGTAACATTTTTGACCAAAAATTTTTGGATCTAAATATACCCATAATTTAGATGTTATAGCTGCTGAATTGTTTAACAGAAAAAATTCTTTTCTAACCAATAAAGTATGATAATAGGAGAAGACATATGTGAAAAATATGAAGAAATTGAGAGAAGAAAGAGGTGAAAGTAACGTACGTACGTACTATCCTTAAAACAAACGTACATACATAATACGTACAGGCCGGCTCAAGGTGGAAAAAAAACATAAATCTAATGGTGGTAAATAATGGGTCCATCTAGTTTAATGAAAATCAATGGCTAGAGAATTTTTAGAAATTTCTCTAATTTATTATAGTGACACGTGGCGGTTTGGAAGCGTTTGTAGGATGACACATGGCGGATTGGAGGCGGATTGGGAGCGTTCGTAGGAAGTTTAATAGACTTTTAGTATATAATAGATACTTCTCGAGATAAATACCTAATAATGGAGGTATTTGCGACAAATATATTACTAGTTCTCAACATATCCGGTTCATGCATAATCAAATATTGGGTTTCTTCGGTTACAAATCAGTAAACACTTCTTCAAGCAAATCATAGCGTTCGTAGGAAGTTTAATAGACTTTTAGTATATAATAGATACTTCTCGAGATAAATACCTAATAATGGAGGTATTTGCGACAAATATATTACTAGTTCTCAACATATCCGGTTCATGCATAATCAAATATTGGGTTTCTTCGGTTACAAATCAGTAAACACTTCTTCAAGCAAATCATAGCGTTCGTAGGAAGTTTAATAGACTTTTAGTATATAATAGATACTTCTCGAGATAAATACCTAATAATGGAGGTATTTGCGACAAATATATTACTAGTTCTCAACATATCCGGTTCATGCATAATCAAATATTGGGTTTCTTCGGTTACAAATCAGTAAACACTTCTTCAAGCAAATCATTAATGAAGCACATCACGTGGAAACAATATGCACCGTCCACTCCACTCGCAAAGTCATTTCGCACATCTCTGGACGTATCTCCACCGTCCATATCATATCATGCACCAAAGAATTTTTTTTTTATTTACTAACTGCATCCATGAGATACCCAAATTTGAAAGCAGTCAATTAATTCAATTCAATTCAACTCACTGCAGCAGTGGTACTAGCATGAGTATTAGCCATGGTCCAACGGGCAAAAAAAAAATTGAAAAAAGAAATCACTCCAATTTCTAAGAGCGAGTACTTCAAGTCAACTGTAAACACATGTAGAGGAGAGAAGAAAAGTTTTATAGCCAGCTGCAGTATGAACTCCAGGTGGGACCACATATATTAATGGTTTATAGATAACTATTATACGAATATACTATTAAATTAGCTATAAATGATATGGACCCAGTAGTTGGCTATACTATTAAACTTGCTTTAAAATTTCTGTGTGATGATGGGGATAAATAACGGGGAAGATGGTGATTACATATTATGTTGCTAATTAGAAATTAGGGAGTGTGATTAGCCTCTAATTGGTAATTAGAGGCCGCCTTCTCTCTCCTCCTATATAGAGGCGGGACACGCCGCTGTCTCCGTCTCTCTCGTACGTGTCTCTCGCTCTAATTAGGGAAGCCTCCATCGCCATTGCTTCTCTCTCTCTCTCCTTGAGCTTTCCTGTCTCTTTCTCTTCGCGGTCTAATTAGAGGTTGGGGATGATGCCAAGGAACGCGGCGGAGCGCGCAATGGCGGGGTGCTTGCCCACCGCCGGGCTCCGGCGGGCGCTGACGCTGCCGTCGCCGTCGCCGGCGGCGGCGGTGGGCCATGAGGAGGGGTCGTCGACGTCGGCGGCGTCAACAACGGTCGGGACGGGGGTCGCCCCCGTCGTCGTCGTCGGCGTCGACCTCGTGCCGGCCTTTCTTGACGACCTTGATCCGCCGCTGTACCTTGATGATGTCGAGGCGGAGGCCGACGCCGGTGGGTTGTCCACCGCCATCGCCTCACGCCGGCTGTTCTTTGAGTCGCCCGGACGGTCGAACTCCATCGTGGATTCCGCCGAGCACCCCGCCGCCGCCGCCGCCGCCGTCGTCCCCCGCGGCAACGGAGGCGCCAGCACGTCGTCGTCGTCGTCGTCGGGGCGTCCTGCCGCCGCGCCTAGCCGCGCGGCTGCTGCGGCGACTGGTAAGGGAGTGCGCGTGTGCGGCGACGAGCAGGCGCGGCCGGTCCCGGTGTCGACGGCCGCGCCGCGGGAGGAGTTCCTCAAGTCGATGACGGAGATGGTGGACGCCATGGGGCTCGATGTCGCGCGCCGCGGCGGCGACCGCGCCCGCCTCCACGAGCTGCTCCTCTCCTACATCGCGCTCAACGACCGCGACGCGCTCCCGGACATCCTCGGCGCGTTCACCGACCTCCTCCTCGCCCTCAACGCCCATGGTCCCGCCGCCACCCCCGCCGACGGCGTCGTCCGAGAACGCGGCGGCGGCGGCGACGCAAGGAGGAAGGCATAGCGATCGATCGATCCAATGCCGGCCTCGCCGCGCCGGCGAGCGCCGCGCGCCGCCGTCGTGCGCGCGCGCGTGAAATGAGCTTCTAGAAGGATTAGAGAAAAGGGCCAATGGCGTTTAAGTCTGAAGTGTAACGAACATCTGTTATTTGTGTCGCTCTTGTGCCATCTCCTTGATTTTTTTTTTCATTTTTTAATATCTTTGATTTTTTATTTTACTTTTTTTTTTGTTGGTGTGCATACCTTAGCTTGCTGATGTAGGACATGTCCACTGTAATATACTCATACTAGATTAACTTATAATTAGGGCACAATAATTGATTTGATTTTAAGAGTTTCATAAACATGAGTGCTTCTGATCCGTGAGTGTCCACTGCTATTCTAAATGGGTTGTTATGTTGTGACAAGTAGGTGAAGAGGTACATATAAAGCATACTCCACCCGTTTTAGAGTGTAATGAAGGTGCTTTGCTTTTGTCCTAAGATATGTTCACATCCTTGACTAAGTTTATATGAAAATGTAGCAAAATTTTTGCCACCAAACAAATATCTATCATAAAATATGTTCAATGGTGGATTCAACAAAAATGTTGCTATGTTTTTTTTCTGTAAAATTAGTCAAGCTAGGTTGATGAACCATATCTTAGGATAAGACCAAAACACATTATATTATGAAACGAAGGGTATATCTGTCTACGGTCTTTGGGGAATGGTGTTTTGCATCTCATTAGCCCTGTCTCCTTTCCAATACAATATTGCACCCTTAGCGTTATGCTCAAAGAGAAACAATTTTGAGTTAGTTTCCTAAAGAATGCAACAATAAGAAAACACAGGGAGGAAAACAAAAAAAATTGATAGGAATGTAGTCGTAATTCGACGAAATATAAAACATAGGGAAAATGCAGTAATAACGGTAGATGGACAAGAAAACACACACATGAAATTGACAAGATATGAAGGCTCGAAGGTAAGTTCCCATGATATTGGACCTCATGTTAAATTTCCAACAAAACTTCATGGCTTGAAACATTCCATAGGAGCTTACGTAGGATTCATGAATATCCCATGTTAATTTTGTTCCAATGAGCCATTTGGGAAAATTTTTTTCTTGAATTGGATTTAAATCCTACAAAAAAGAACCATCAAATATCCTTTGTTCAATTGTTCTAGAGGGATCTTAATATCTAAGCCCCATTTGTAACAAAGTATTATTAGAGGAATTTTTATGTCTTAAATCCTATGAATTTTTTTCATTTAATTTGGTCATTTGAACTGTGGAATGCCTCAAGCCCCCAAGAGAATTTTGGAGAAAATTCAACATGAGGTCCAACCAATCTCACGGAAAAATTTTGAGAAAATTTCACAAAACTACATATACTATAATCAAATTATCACAAAACTACAGATTTAACACTAAATTTATCACAAAACTACAGATTTAAGGTGAAGTGTTGCAAAACTACAGATTTAATAACAAAGTTATTACAAAACTATAAATTTTAGAGTTTAAATCCTTAGCACTAGTATTATGTTTGAGTCATAAACGTGTAAGTTTAGTGATTAAATTATCACTAAACCTGTAGTTTTATGATAATTTTATTACTAAATCTATAGTTTTATGATACCACACCTTAAATATGTAATTCTACGAGAAATTTAGTGTGTTAAATATGTAGGTTTTGTGATATATTACTCTAAATATATAGTTTTGTGATAATTTGATCGAAGTATATGTAGTTTTGTGAAATTAACTAAAAAAATTTCTTTGTCTTTTGTAATTGTTTGTTTTTTCCCTTACATTCGTATCAAATCATGTGCTTTTTCTATATGTATCAGTATCATCTCCCATGTTCAGCCCTCAGCCCTTAATAGACACCGATGTGGATGCAACTTTCAACGGTTGAGAGCAGTGAAACTAATATGCATGCATAAATATGTATGGCAGTGTGGGGATAAATTCATAAATACCAACCGCAACTTTTGAAGATGCTATAGAAATTACAAAATTCAAATGGTGGTTTCAATTTACTCTTCAATAATCCATGCAGTCAATTACTAGTACTTTAATCCTATAATCTATATTATTATGCTCAACACAATGGTGTTTCAGTATTTTCATATGTATTATGTTGTTACCACGTGTCGAGCTTAAACCTTAGCTGCCCCCGTATGTGCCTACTGGCTACGTCCCTAATTATGCACCTGAATCTCGGTAGTGATGAAATTAAGCACACAATTATGTCTGACAATAACGTCTTCTTTTCCCTGTCGATCTCCATCCGTTTCTTTTCAGTTGGGAGGTTAATTTCACTGAATTTTTCTCTTTCAAAAGAACATAATTTCGCATAATTTTCTCTGAACAAAATACAGCTGGGAGGTTAATTTCACTGAATTTCTCTTGACAATATACTGCCCAGAATCGAGACGAATTATGCATCCACGCGTGCGCCATAGGTAGCCACATTATATTATACCGGCTTATTCCCTTCGTTTCAGGTTACAAGATGTTTTGACTTTCATCAAAATCAAACTACTTTAAATTTAACTAAGTTTATAGACAAATATAGTAATATTTATATTACCAAATTAGTTTCATTAGATAAAAAATTAAATATATTTTTATAATAAATTTATTTTTGGTTGAAAATATTATTATTGTTTTTCTATAAACTTAGTCAAACTTGAAACAGTTTGAGTTTGACCAAAGTCAAAACATCTTGTAACCTGAAACGGAGGAAGTATCACTGGTGGAGAAACTGTCTATACTCCTAGTTTGTAACCCCCTATAGTCCCGGTTTCCCAACCGGGACTACGAATCTGGGACTAAAAACGGGTGAAATAACCGGGAGTAAAGATCTATCTTTAGTCCTGGTTGGTAACACCAACCGGGACTAAAGTGGGTTGGTGTTACCAACCGGGACTAAAGATCCTCAGCCCCCTGACATGCCTCTGACAGGGGATGAACCGGCACTAAAAATCATGTTACCAACCGGGATTAAAGATCAAAATTTTTTTAATCGGGACTAAAAATCATTTTTAATCCTGGTTTTTAATGGAACCGGGACTATTATAGAATTTGGTCGACCGACCAAAGATGATTTCTCCACCAGTGTATTATTTTAAGACTTCTCCATTAATACTCGAAAACACAACAAAAACACTATACTATAGCCTCATTTCAAAGTTCAAACCGACATATTTACAAGAACTATACTGAAATTCAACTAATTCGTGTGAAAATACTACAAAGGCGTTTTAAAAGAATCATCATACTGTTGTCTGCATACTGCTGGTTCAAAAACGATAGCACTGCCGGTTTTATGTAACAGTGAGAGCTCGCCAATCAGCTGGCTTGAGTGTTCATCTCAACTCCCATACATCCTCTTAATGAACTATTAATCAACGATCGAGACATCGAGTTGCCAATCAGTACTGAGGGTGTAAAGTGGTAGAGGCCATGAATCCACGCATAATACAAATAAGCGGGCAATAATCCGTCGGGCGAGATTTCACGAGCGAATGATCCATGGAGACGGCGAGCGAAATCGTGAGTAATTACACCGCGCGCGTGGTAGGAGGAGGACGCCGACGCCGACATGGCAACCGCAAAGCTACCAGCAGATACTCTGATAGATTACTGATGATACTGCAAGAGCTCAAAAAACAGTTGGTGATCATGGCCTCTTACTTTATCTGTTCGATCTTTTTCGCTGCTTCGAATCGATCAGAAATACTGTAGTGGAAAAGCTACTGGTACTAGTACTACTACGGTATGATTTTAGGAAACTCTTTCCCCTCGTTTATTTACATTTTACTTTTTAAAAATTAAACATTTAGTAAGATAAATTAATGTGATATATATCACTCCAAAAAAATGTAATTTTAATTTTAATTTTTACTACCTCAGTCCCATAATAAATTTATTTTTGTTTTTAGTTCATCATGCATGTTTGTCCCAAAATTAATTTGTTTTTAAGAAATCATTACATGGGAGTTTATGAAAGTACGATATAAATGCATTCGGAGTAAATAAAGAGAACAATACTTATCTTTGGATTCGATAAAGTATGCGTATTAGTTTTTTTTGGTTTGTATTAGCATGTGTGTGATATGTGAAAAATAGACTTATTTTTTAGGTGTAGGTAGTACAAGTTAAAAAATAATTAATGTAAGCACACGTATACTACTAGTTAGAGTTAAATTTGTTAGTTTTATTACAATTTGTTTAGATCGAATTTAGACTTATGTGTTAATAATTTAATGAAGTGATACATCATATATTAATTTATATTATTAAATTTTTATGATTATTTAGATAACACTCGAGGGGTTATAATCCTTTTTCAGGTGTTTGCCTCTTAGGCCTTGTTTAGTTTGGGAAAATTTTTAGGTTTGGTTGTCACATCGGATATACGGATACACATTTGAAGTATTAAGCTTAGTCTAATAACAAAATAAATTACACATTCCACCAGGAAACTGCGAGACGAATTTATTATGCCTAATTAATTAATCATTAGCAAATGTTTACTGTAACATCACATTGTCAAATTACGACGCAATTAGGCTTAAAAGATTCGTCTCGTAATTTACACGCAATTTGTATAATTGTTTTTTCTACATTTAATACTCCATACATGTGTTCAAACATTCGATGTGACAACGTGAAAATTTTTATTTTACGTTGTGTTTAGATCCAGGAGTGTAAAGTTTTGGCGTGTCACATCGGATATACAGACATATATTTGAAGTATTAAACGTAGTCTAATAACAAAACAAATTACAGAATCCACATGTAAACCGTGAGACGAATTTATTAAGCATAATGAATCCTTCATTAGCAAATATTTACTGTAGCACCACATTATCAAATCATGGCGCAATTAGGATTAAAAGATTCGTCTCGCAATTTACACGCAATATGTATAATTAGTTATTTTTTCGTCTATATTTGTCGGAGATATGGGCCCGGGGGTATGCAAAGTAAGGGGAGTTTACCTTCCCATCCAGCCACGTAGCCCTACAGCCTGGCCCTACCCCGCACCTCGCGAATCGCAGGAGCGGCCGGGGGGCCTCGGGGTGCCACGTCATGCCCCTCGGGCCCTCGCGCTGCCTTGCCCCGAGGCCCTCGTCCAACTGCCATGTGGCGGGGGAGCGAGCGGGGAGGGGACCCAGGCTGAACCGCTATCAATGCGCGCGGCGCCCCAACTGCCTCTCACCGCATTTAATACGGTAAGGGCAAACGTGCAGTGCCGCCCAACTGACGCACGTCAGTCAGGACTGACCAGTCTGTGACCGGCCTGTCGCCAGTCACGTTTGACTGGACGGGTGGCCGTGCCCCCACGTCGCCTCTGTCTCCGGTGGAGTGGAGATAGGTATGCCCTGTCACATCAGAGCGTCATCCGGAGTTCTCCCGGCGTGAGGAAGACGGCCAAGGTCTCCACCCATTAAAGGGCGAATGACAGGGCCGTCCCCCGTGTCAGGTGGGGGGCGGCGCTGGGTCCCACAGAAAGGCGGACCGCGCCTTAGCTTCCGGGCGAAGGCACGGATCGTGGACCAGTCAAGGCAGAGTGGGTCCCCATCCCATATAAAAGTAGGTAGAGGCGGTGCATGTGGTATCCCCTTGAACTATAAAAGGAGGACCTTGCCGACCGAGAAAAGGGACGACTCTCAGTAAGCCTGAACTCTAGGAGAAGAGAAGCGGGAACGCTCTCCGGAGTTTAGGAACCCTTGTAACTCTCAACCTTAATCCCACACACAGGAGTAGAGTATTACGCTCCATAGCGGCCCGAACTTGTCTAATCTAGTCGCCCATACGCGACTTAGTAGCATCCAGGGTGGACACGCCATCTCTAGAAGCGAGCTCTTTCCCCCGGCCGAACTCACGAAAGAGGATCTCACGATCTCCCGCTAGAGAGGATCACTCCTCAACAATATTTAATACTCTATGTATATGCTAAACATTCGATGTTATAGGGTATAAAATTTTACTGGGGATTTAAACAACCCTTAGGAACTAAACAGGGCCTGAATTTCTTTGTTCGCGAAGCATATGGCATCATTTCATTTGGAATGGAGAGGCTAACTGATATGTCGTCAGGAGGTAGCATATGCAGCATGCCCGGCCGGATTGTGGTTTTAATTGCAGCAGTGCAGCGTCAGATCGAGAATGAGCGTGCGTGCGAACTTATCATGGCTTTTGTCGTGTGAGACCTTTTGGGACACGTGACAGCATGACCATGCTTGCCTCATGTGCCTAGAGATTTTGTGGTCACTTCATATGGTATTCCATTCGATTCAACATATAAGTACTTTACATATGAGCTTAATCTGTGGGGATTTTGGTGAGTTCAAATCTTTTGTTCTAGAGAGCATGTAGAGACTGTAATCCTCTCAATTTTTCTAACGGAACTCTTCTATTAATTTTAGAGAGAATCTAAAATATTTAACATAGCCTTTGGCCCTTTTCTGTAGTATGCCAATGAGTTTATCAGTTGTTTCTACAATATAATATACCATTTAACCAAATACTTTGAAAATACCTAAAATACCCTTAGATACATGTAAATGTTGACAATGGATTGACCCCACTAGAAAATTCAAAAAAAATATGAAACTTCTTGTGTTGTTCTTTTTATGATCATTTTTCACATGCTGCATAAATTATTTTTGTGCTATTATCTTTTGTGTGAGTGATTCCTCTCTCATATATATGTAATAAAAAAGTTTTCAGAAAAAAAAATCATGAAAGAAATAGTGAAACATATATATGTAGAAGCTTAACAGCATATTATAGAAAATATCAGTGTCCATGACAAATCTTTGAACCGTTACAAACTCATTGTAGACATAGAACCGATTCTCTCTTGTTTATACTGAATCCTAATAAGTGAATAAGATTGCATAACGGTAATTCTACACCATTTGTTTTATTGATAATGGATAACCTAGCAAATGCGTCAAAGACACACAAAGCCCAAAGTTATATTACTAATTACAATATCTCCACAGTAAGTAGGAACAGACAAACAAACATAACAAGAAGTTTTATAAAATGCTTGATGATGCGCCATTGGCAAAGGTTTCTACTGACTCTTCTCCTTTCCTGCAGCTCACAACGACAGAATCATTTCCGGTGGACGTTGAGGCTTCAGCTACGGTCATCACACAACTCAATTGGCACATTGCCTCCATACTTGCATTGCATTCAGCTATCTACTCCTATCATGGAGAGACCCCTGATAGATATATTGACTCTTTCTGACAGCAACAGTTGCAGCATGTATTGCCACTTGCCAAATTAATCTGGAGATTATCTCCTTTTTTTTCCAAAAAAGAAAGAAACTAATGCAGCAATCATTATCTACCAGTGCAGCAGTTTGACATATACATACCCTGCTGCCGATGCACTAAATAAGGGAAAAGAAAGAGAAATTAAATCGAACAGTGGTGCACTAGCTGGAGCAGGAGTGATATACTCCGTATAACAGTTGCAGTATTGTAGAGGGACGTATGCTACTGTAGTCCTGTGGCATTTACATTGTAACAGGTGATTTAATTCTGGATCAATTAATTTTTCTTTTACAAAAGAATAGCAGTGGCGCTAGGTTCTTTTCGGAGTTATTGGTGTGGAATTTAATGAGAAAATTAACAGTTGAACTGCAAATCAATTTACGAGAAAAAGAAAGGCGTACCTGCCTACATTACCGCTTTGAAAGTGAAAACCGCTCAATTTGTCGAAAACTGAGAAAAAACTAAAAAACCATTCACTTTTGGTTAACCCCGTATGAGAAGTTTTCCATCAAGAAAAATTACCGTATGAGAACTGGCCAAAACCTCTTAGTTTCTACAAACCAATGCCAGCTAAAACCACACGTCGTCTTTTTTTTTTCCAAAATTCATTCAAAAGTTTGCTAACTTGTCGAGAGTCGGGATCAGTTTTTACTAAACCGTTTTGGGTATGGTTACTGCCACTTCCACGGTAAGGCGGTTATGTAACCGCGTGGTTACCGTGAGGTTTACCGTGGTTTCAAAAACTGAAAAGGTTATCACGCTGATAACCGTGATAATCGCAGGGTAACCGACTAACCGTACGATTTTGCAAAGCCTGGTCGGGACCCAATGATGCATAGCAAAATACGGAATAAATTAAGTGCAGTACTTCAGTACTCCCTCCGTCCCAAACAACGATTGGACACTACTCTATCCAGATTTGTTGTACTATATAGTGTCCAATCGTTGTATAGGTTGATTTTTTTTTTTTTGGATGGAGAGAGTATATCCATTATCCAAACAGGTGAAGCCATGATGCGGATTTGGATGCTAACACTGCAAGTCATGTGGACGTGGGCATGTGGCTGTACGTGAGATGCTCCGTTTGCCCCTGCTTCTGCAATGATGAGCACAGTGAGCTAGCATATGAGCTAAACGTCAGTACGTCACTGTTTCCCCAATGCAAGGTCAAAGGAGCACTGTTGCGGCCAACAAACGCACACGAGATCGATCGATCTGCAAGGCCAAATTCACCGTGAGGTTGGCGCTATCTAGGCGCCATAGGTACGAAGCTACAGTGCAGAATGAGGGCCTGGTTGGAAGTTGGGATCACTTCCAACAGTGACAACTAAGAGCATTTACATACCGGTTCATGTTGATGTGGACTCTTCTCCTCTATCGATCATAGAGAAAAAGGTAATCCTGGGATGAATCTCGATATAAGCTGTATATATTTATGTGTAGGATTAAATCTTTTTAGAATGGAGGGAGTACATCATAAGAGAGGAGTTAACGAAGAGAGAGATAGAAAAAAATATTACCTTAAGCTCGGATTTGTAAAAAGTGTGCTGAGAAATAAAGTGATCCTAGAGACCTATTAGACAAGTAAGAGATGTCATTTTTAGATGTGCTTCTATGCTCCTCAAAAGAACATCCGTGGTTGAGATTAAAAGTGGGATTAACACTCTAGTCCTCATTAGTAAGGGGTATTTTTGTCTATGGAAATTTCATCCCATATCCAGCCCAGTCCAACTCATAAGCAATCCACATCACCGTCGTGCGACCGCGATCATGATGGCATCACTCTCTCCTCATTGCGTAAGCTCCGCCCACCTCGCACACGCTGCCTTCTCACATGTTTCTCCTTTCCTATTTTGGGGCAGTTTTTTTTTTCGAAAACCATGCATTTCATTAGACTCAGAAACATAGTACATGGTTGACAGTACAATTTCTTGCCCTTAGGCTAGCTCTCATAGTAGAGGCAGTTGATGATTCCAAAGCCAACCATTGTCACAAACTCCTCACCTGAGACCGTCTCACACCATGAGCTTCACATCTAGATCTGCCCGGCACCATAATTTCTCGCATTTTTCTTCATCAATGCATCATCAATGGCTAGATTGAAGGGAGCGCCACCAGGGATGGATCTACCACCCAGTGACCCCGGGCAGCTACCTGGGCTCGTCCACGGTTAATCTATTAAAATTTTAAGATAGAGTTTACGTAGTTTATACTAGATACAGTGAAGTTTGTATGGGCTCTAAAATAATTCCCTGATCCGCTACTGAACGCCACCACTGGCTTTGTCCTCATAGTGCAACATCAACTGCCGTGCAGCATCACTGCTACTTATGTGTTCCCCATTAGTTAGATCTAGTTTGGGCCCTGCGGCCCACGGTCTGCGTGGGCCCGCAGCCCACCAACACATTTCCTCTGCGGGCTGCGGCCCGTGCGCGCGGCCAATTTGCCGGCCTCGTCAAGAGAAGATAGTATCAGACTGTCAGAGTTGAGCTCAATCAAAGAGACATCAGAAAATTAAGTAATTAATTAATTAATTAATCATCTTCCCTGCACATTAACAACGTTCGTACACTCAGCTCAACTCAACCGCTAATCACTACACCTACCCCCTTGCTGCACTACCAAATCTTTTGATTTTCATTATGATACAGCTTTAATTAATTAATCCCAACAACATCTGCGTCCCTCTCCCTTCTTCTCAGGCGCCGGCGGCGTCGCGCGCCTCGTCGTCGGCCTGCAGCGGCTCGAGCGACGCGACGATGTCCCGCATGAGCGGCCTCGCCTTGGGGTTCCGGTTCAGGCAGTGGTACGCCAGCATCGCCGCCTTGTGCACCGCCCTCGCCGGCAGCTCGCCGCCTGCGCCGGCGGCGGCGGCGGCGGCGGAGAGGCGGGGGTCGACGATGGACATGACCTTGCGCTTGTGGGTGAGGAGGGGGAGCGCCCAGTCGGCGAGCGTCTGCTCCCGCGGGGGGCGGGACTTGTCGAGCGACTTGCGGCCGGTGAGGAGCTCGAGGAGGACGACGCCGTAGCTGTAGACGTCGCTCATGGCCGTGAGGTGGCCGGTCATGACGTACTCCGGCGCCGCGTAGCCGTAGGTGCCCATGATCCGCGTCGACACGTGCGACTTGTCCCCCACCGGCCCGTCCTTCGCCAGCCCGAAGTCCGACAGCTTCGCGTTGAACTCCTGAATGATGATGAATCCATACATTCGATTCGCGCCAAATGGTTTCAGAAAAAATCGGTTTAGATTGACGAGATTCGACCGAAATTTGAAATCTCGAGTAAATTTTGACCCAAGAAAGAGATGATTTTTTTTTGAAGTTTGCAACGAAATTCGACCGGAAATTGAATTCTCGAGTAATGCGTTATCAAGATATTGAAAATTTGAGAGTGCGACGCGCACTATGTTTGAAATCGAGATTTTAGACGAAATTCAACCGGTTTTTGAATTCTGGAGTAAACCCCCCCCCCAAAAAAAATAAATAAAAATAGAAGCTTGAAACGAAATTCGACCAAAGACTCGAGTAATGTTTTTATCAAGAGCATTGACAATTTGAGGATGCGACGCGCCCTTTGTTGAATTCGAATTATTGGACGGAATTCGACCGATTTTTGAATCCTCGAGTGAATCTTGACCAAAAGTTTGAAACGCCCTTTGTTGAATTCGAATTATTGGACGGAATTCGACCGATTTTTGAATCCTCGAGTGAATCTTGACCAAAAGTTTGAAAAATTTTCGATGAGATATCCTCACGCTTTGTTTGAATTCAAAACTTTAGACGAAATTCAATCAAATTATGAATCCTCGAGTGAATTTCGACCCCCCCCAAAAAAGGTATCTTGAAATTCGCAACGAGATTGGACCGAAAAATCGAACTCTCGAGCAATGTTTCATCAAAGGACACTGAAAAATTTTCAGGATCGTTGAATTCGAAAATTTAGACGAAATCCGACCAAATTTTGAATCCTCGAGTGAATCTTGACCAAAAGTATGAAAAAAAAAAGGAATTTGGACGAGAGATATCCCGCACCTCGTCGAGGAGGATGTTGGAGGTCTTGAAGTCGCGGTAGATGACAGGCTTCTCGGCCTCGTGGAGGAACGCGAGCCCCCTCGCCGCGCCCAGCGCGATCTTCATCCGCGTCGCCCACGACAGCGGCGCCATCACCCCTGCACACCCACCAGCGAACCTCGTCAGTCATCACACCCTCGACGCGTACTACGCCGGTGATCAATAGTGTAATAGCCGATGTCAGGCGACACCGATGACTTTTGGTAAAACGTACAGTGAAACTTTTTATCCATATATTATAATATCATCATCAAAGTATAATTAACATACTTTGACATCGATAAACACGTTATGATACCAACAAACTAATTTTCTGGTGCGGCGGCGGCGACGGACTTACGGGAGAAGAGGTGGGACTCGACGCTGCCGCGTGGCATGTACTCGTAGACGAGCAGCCGGTGGTCGCCCTCGCAGCAGTATCCGACGAGCCTCACCAGGTTGGGGTGCGACAGATGGCCCAGGAAGATCACCTCCGCCTGCACCAACAATGGCGGATTCCGATCACCACAGCGCGAACAACGAGATTGATTCTTGATTGAGTACTACTGACCAGCCACTCGCGGTGGCCCTGGAAGCTGTTGTCGCCGTCGTGGACCTTGACGGCGACGGGCTGGGGCTCGGCGCCGTCGCCGTCGCCGGCGGCGGAGGCGGCGACGGCGCCCTTGTAGACGCGGCCGAAGCGGCCGCCGCCGATGAGGGAGTCCTGGCGGAAGTTGCTGGTGACCGCCCTGAGCTCCTCGAAGGAGAAGGCGACGAGCGGGTTGCGCGCCGACGAGTCCAACCGCATCGCCTCCACCTCCTTGGCGTTCGATGGCAGCTTGCTCTCGTCGCTCCGGTCCCTCTCCGATGGGCTCTGGATCTTGGGAGTCTCTGCGAGCTCAGAGGAATCAGCAGAGACTTTGGTATATCAAGAACATGATCAGGTGGATAAACTGTTCCTTTTTTTTTGACAGAATTTGGCAAATTTGGGGTTTTCATGAAATTGGGAAAATTAGTTTCAGAGCATGATGAAGTGATTTAACAAAGGTTGTTACGAAATTCGGCAAATTAGTTTCAGACATGATGAGGGTGAGTAAAAAAATATTTTCCATGAAATTCGGGAAAAATAATTTCAGAACATGTTAAGGTGAATAAACATTTTTTTATAGCAAATCAATTTCAGAACATGGTTATTGCTTTCGGAGGGGTCAAATATGGACTAAATTTACAGTGTTGGATGTTCTCTTTGTTGCAATTCGGATTTGAACAAACTTGGCATCAGATTTTAAGACTTTCAGGGATAAGAGATAATCCATCTGTCTAAATGATAAGGCTGGAAGAACTGTAGACTTACCTGGCTTCGCATTAGAAGAGACTCTGTTAACAATTAAGCTCCCTCTAAACCAGCAATTACCCATCTATCACAACCTCTAATCCTCTCCCTCTCTCTCCAAGAACACCAAGAAGAAAGTAAGGAGGCAAGCAAGAGCTGCTGTTCTTCTCTCTCAACCAAGCTAGAGAGAGAGATAATCACTGCCAAAAAAGGGCGATATCTCTGTGTATCCCTGGATTAGAAGCTGAGCAAGAACAGGGACACAGTCTGAACAAGCTCTGATGATATTCAGAGAAGCAAGCAAGGAGACGAATAATATGGGATAGACAGGGAGAGGTTGGTGATGCTACTTGTGCAACAGCAGCCGCAGCAAAGAGGAGGAAGAAAGAAACCAAATCAAGAGGGGCAGGGAGCAGTACGTTTCAAGTGAGCCATCCCTTTCTCCCCTTTATCATTATACCTTTCATGATGAGAACCCAGAACTAAAAGCTAAGCAAATATGTGTATGTATATATAATTCAAGTACAATTATGCAGTGGCAGCTGCCCTGTTCCTGTAGCCGGTTACACCAGGAGCATATAAGCTAATAAGCATACAGGTCATGTTTGATTTGGGCATGCATTTTTGGCCTTACTTAATTTGTAAGACAATAATACTCCATGATTATGTCTATTTTTTTGGGTTGAAATTGACCATATTTTTTAAACAGCCATGATTGTATATATGATGGTATGGTAGGTTTATATTCCTACTTCCCTGGGGAAAAGTTGGAATTTTTTTTTACTGTTTGAATGTCTAGATGATGGCATGCATTTGTTCATCCTTCTCATGTTTTCTGTGGATAGAGGCAATGAGAGAGAGCTAGCAAAGGAAAAGAATTTGGCATATGATTACACGAGGCAACTCATGACTATTTTTCAGAAATCCTATCTTGTTGCCTTGTGAGGTCCTCAATGGAACAAAGAATTCTGGGAGGAAATATCCTGTTGAAAATGAAAATTTTGCCTATTTGATCCCTTGGAACCATGAGTTAGGGCTTTCAAAATCATATGAAATTCCTTTAGAATGCTATAATGCATTATGCATAGAGATTTTGAAATAAAGTTAGCATAAGGTCTGATCTCTTAAAAATATTCATTCGAGTCTATTTAATTAATCACACGCTAATCGTTAGTATAATAAATCAAAGCAAAAGCCAAAATTTGAATTTCCAAACTTGATTTTGAAATTGATTTAAGATATTTTCAACGTAATTTCTTTTTAGTATAGGCTTTTAAGTGACTACGAGCATATATATTAAAGTTTTACTTATAAATTAATTTTTATTTCCTAATAAACCGTTTTAGCTTATTAAGAAATATGGGCAGCCGATGGGGCTCTTCTCTCCTCTTGAAATCATGTGCTTTCTATTGCCATATTTTATCATTTCTGCGATCGAATTGAAGCCTTAAATATTGTCAATTTTCTACTGATGTAAATCAACAACCAAAGTTATTTCACCTTCAATTTCGTTAGTATGTTTTTCAAACTAACATATTGTATGAAAATTTTCCTTTAAAATTTATATAAATCATTTGTAATAATTAAAATTTAATTAATTATGTGCTAATTAACCACGGATGCAATTCTTGGTGTGCTTGGGTCTTGGTTGGTCAGCAGCAGTCAACACTCCCCTGGAGTGTCTACTGTCTACTGCAGAATTGCAGATTCGCTGCACTCTCTTGCCAAGCTGCCTCGCGCAACCTGCCGCTCTGCAGGATTGGCGCCAAATCATCGATCTGCGCGCCCCGCGCGAACGCCAGATGGCGACGAACGCCCTCTCCTTCCTCCTGCGGCTTCTTGCTGGCGCGGCCTCGGGGGGCTGCGGCTGCGGCTGCGGCTGCCGGCACACGGATCAGGACGTCGAGGTCAGCTCGCCATACCCCACGAATCCTATCCCCTTTCCCTGACCCTTCCTCCTCCCTCCCTCGCGATCCAGATTCGTGTCGCATTCTCCCAGCGTCTTCTTGCGCGTTTCTGCATAGTGTCCGTCCCGGGTGGTGATGTGACGACGGCGAAGATGGGCGTCTCTGTTTAATCAGTTCGCGATCCGAAACCCTCTGCTTAGTCTGATCTGATGATGGCGACGGGGCGGGCGATTTGGTTGGGGGGGTTTGGGTTTCGGTTGATCCCCCTCTCCAAATCCCCGTATCAGACTCATCATCTTGGGCCACTCTTTTGGGTGGATATGTATGTATGTGCGTGCTTGCGTGAGCTGAGGCGACTTGACCGGCAGTAGTCTCCGGCTGCCACCAAGTTGCCAAGGCACCTACTTCTCTTCTTCTTCTACTACTAATTATAATTTTATACTCCTATGTGTGTATGATATGAAAAGAAAGATATTTCTTTTTTATCCAGTTTTTTTTTAAGGAAGACGACGGCAGGAGCTCCGCCGGAATTTGATTAAGAAGGAAAAGAGAGTACAAACAGATCCTTGATTACAAAAAATAAAGACACAGCTTGGTGAATCAAGAAAGGCGGCTTGGATGTTTCCTGCATCCTCTGCTTGTCTTAACCTCCTTTTTTTTTTCACTTTCTTTAAAACATCATCATCTGCAAATGCCATGCATCATCTTGTGTGTAGGAAGTAGGATGTGGGATGTTGTTCCCATGGAATCTCAGTATATTAGATTGCAGTTCTTGGAGCTGCATGAGTCTAAGATATTTGTGGTCCAATGCAATGACCGTGTCGGACTCGGATTTCTATATATGGTTGACACTGTTCTAAAACTAGGGGGAGTTGTTTGCTGTTTCATACCCCACTAGAATTGGGAGATAAGAAATGGGGAAAAAAAGGGGATGGATGGTTTGTTGTGACAAGTGCAAGTGTGTTTCATCCTCTGTGAAGATTGTTAGGTGGTGATGTTGGTGAATAAATAGCGTGTTTTGGGGTGATAATGATAGGTTACTGGAACAGAAGTTTGCTCGTTGGAGCTTGGATTGGCCTACTAGACCTCCATACGCAAGTGCGAGTGACTTTTTCCTGAGTTGATAATCAAATTTTAATTACTGACCTATGCTGCTGGGCACTGTCACAGTTTGATGCACCCACCTCGTGTTTGATTGGGCATCTTCTTTGCCTGTGGGGCTTGGGGTTCTGGTCATGCACGTTTTTGGCTTGTTAGGCATGAGAGGCGAAAACGGTTAATAGTGTTACTGCGCTGTCCATATTTATGTCTGTCCTTGCAATTTTCATGCTGATTTACATGCTTAAAACTTAGTAGAAGAAGTTGTTTTCTTGTGTTTGTAATTTTTATAACCACCTGCATGTTTGAGGGTGCCAGCAGCATCATCCTAGGGTGACAAGGAGAATAATTATGCTGACCAGAATGTTCTCACATGACCATGTTGGTCGAGCTTTGGATATACTAGTACTATACTACTATAGAGTAGGCTAGCATTTTGCCTTTAGTGGGTCATGCTCATTGGACAAATTTTCCAAGGGGTACTGTCGTTCTCATGCTAATTGTAGAGATTACATGCTTATAGGGGTAATGTCTTTCGCCCATCCATTAGGATAATGACTTGCAACAACTAAATGCTAATCCTTAACCTGTAATGCATATTAAAGAATGCGCACACTAAATGGCTTCTTAACATGTAATAGTCCACTTGGTGGAGGGATCACCTGTCACTTTCAGTTGTGTGGCCAATCAGCATCAGTTCAGATTGGAAGGCTTTTCTTGTGCAATGTTAGTAGGGCATATAATTTGGATTCCTTTTTATCTGCATATTTCATTGGCATTCTTCTAAGGGGAATTGGATCCAATTGGTATTCCCTAGTTGTTTGATACTTGCAAACCGAAAAGGTTGCATGCTATATATTTTTTTTTCAGTAGAACTCAGGAAGATGAAAATGACAATTACCTGAATTCACCCCCAATGCTGCTTGGAATGTGTGTTTTGCTAGCCTTTCTTTTTATAATAGAAAAATTACAGAGTTAGCTCTTAATCAAATTAACATGGTTCTTTATGGATCTTGTTAACTCTGTTTTTGAACTAAGGATAGTGTGCCTTTCTGTTAACTCCACAGAGTACCTTCAGTTACTCAAATTACACATAATTTTGTTCAATTTGTTTGTTATTGACCAAAATTTACCTTATTCAAGGAATCAGGGCAGTGTGCTTTTGTATTAACTCCGCAGATTACCTCCAGTTATTCATTTACACATAATTAGTTCATCTTTAAGGGTTGACCAAAATGTACTCTGTCCAAGACCCAAGAAGAGCGTCTCTTCCACTGTTGCACCAGAAAGACCAGCAGATTCAAATTTGACCATCTTAATTGCTTCATGATTGTTAAAACATGTCCAAACTGGATTTCTTAATTTTGTTCTATCTCATCCGAGAAGAGTTTGTTATATGGTGTGAACACTAGTAAATTCCATAATGGTACTTGCAACTTTCATAGTTTTGTTTGACTAGACGTTACTTTCTTCGCATAAGGTTTGACCAGACGTTACCTTCTTCGCATAAGGTCCATTTTCTATGTTATTTAATGAAGCTGCTTTCAAGTGTGTTGTGGACTTCTACAGACTCAAAGGTATAAAAGCTGCTCCTGTCGTCCTTCTGGCAGCCCTGTTTAATCATTTTTTTCAGTTTTATGGTTCCTTTCACTGATAAAAAAGTTATTATTTCTTATTAGTACCTAAGCTGCATTCTGTAGGTGAGTACAATTTTTCAAGGAAACACACCCAAAGAATTAGGAAAATGAAGAGGAAATAAATAATTAATACAACTATCTTAACTATTTATGCTCATTGCAATTAAATGCTAGTATTTTGTTTCCAGTGATAAAACAAATATCACCATAAGCAGTAACTGAGAGCTTGAGATATTTCTTCAGCAGGCAGACAATTCCATATCAACTCCTAATTTTATAAGGTATCCTTGAAACTATTGACTTGAACGTTGAAAGTTGGCAATCCTTTAGGGAAAGGGTTAATTGGATCTATGCCACTGCAATTTTGCCATATTAGAAAAATGCCACTACTATTTACGAAATCTGCTGAGTGCCACTGGAACTTTTTGAAATTGGACCCATGCCACTGCCGTCGCATTTTTCATCCATCGCCGTCACTCTAATGTGGGACCCACACGTCAGCTCCATCCTCTTCCTCCATCCCCTCTCTTCTCCCTTCCCCATCTCTCTCCGGCGAACAACAGCAGCAGGTGACCGGCGGCGGCGGCGGCAGCAGCAGCCGGCCAATGACGGCGGCGAGGGCCACGAACGCCGCCACGGAATTCCCAGACCGGCGATGGCGGCGAGGCCATCACCACCGCCGTCGCGTCGTAGCTTGTGTCGGCTTCCGCCGCTGCGATGTCGTTCCAGAGCTGGTCCATGGTGTAGTCCATCTGCAGCTGGCTCGCCGGCGCGCAGCAGCTGCTGCTTTCTTGCAGCGCCGCCCTCGTCATCGTCGTGGTTGTCATCGGCGTGGTGGCTATCGTCGTCGTGGGCCAACTCGAACAGAAGGGCCAACGATCGTACGATCAGCAAAGAACATCCACGTGATTGCAAATCATCAAAGCAAATAAGAGATTGGACCTGGATTTCTTGGCGGTGGTGGGATTTAATTTTTGGTGTTGGGCAAAGAGCTGCGGAGCACGAGTCTTTGGTGCAGACAACTGTGAAGGGCGTCGGAGCTCGATCGGTGCTGTTGCCGGCCACCTGCTGCTGCTGTTCGTCGACCACATGCTGCTGCTGTTTGCCGGAGAGAGATGGGGAAGGGAGAAGAGAGAGGATGGAGCTGACGTGTGGGTCCCACACAGGAGTGACGGCGATGGATGGAAAATGCGACGGCGGTGGCATGGATCCAATTTTACAAAGTTCTAGTGGCACTCAACAGATGCAAAATTGCATTGGCATGGATCCAATCAACCCTTAGGGAAACCTAAAGATTGCATGCTATACTGAATGGTCCATAATATTTCTTTTTGCGGAGATGGAGAATAGTTATATGGTTGACAGTTTGATCTTCCTTTCTTGGATAACTAGGCTAGACAATTGATAGGATGATTGCATGAGGAAAAGTAGGTCAAGTTTATTGTGCAAAATGCTGGTTCCTTATCCAGTAGTACAGCAACCATACAGTGCTTTTGTTCCTTTTTGCATCCGGTGTGTCAGGCCGCAATACACAATTGAGAGCTTTGTTCGCTGCATCCACTGGTACAATCAACCAACAACGTCCCAAGAGACAAGAAAAACCATCACTAGATGATAAAAAAACTAAGGCCATGATGCTGGCATAGGGGCAATTGGAGTTATGCAATAATGAGATGTGACATATTCTAGCTTTATAATTGATTTTTCAATGTATGCTGCATGACACAAATGTTCATTTCATAGAACCATGTTTTCTCATATCTTTTGTCTTCATGTTATAATCTACCATTACTTCTATTTAGTTGTGCATTTGTGCAAAAGAAAAAACTTTGTGATGATGTTCTATCTCTTTTCTCTTATTTGCCAGTTACCACATTAATCTACTACTATGTTATCTTGTTAATACTTTCAACGATGTTTTTACAGCAATATTTAACTGTATCATAAAATGAATGAAGCTGTAAGTGTCAATTGGATTAATCCATCCAATTGAAGACAACCCAACAGTTTCATCTGATGCCAAAGAAAAGAATGGCATGAATAGTTATTAGATCGCAAAGTTTACACTGATATGTAAGTTGTGAAGGACCAATAAGCAAGATCCTTTCATACAACCGTTACCATTTCCCTTCACAATTTACAAATCTGTGGTTTAGACAGTAAAAATCAGTTCCATATAGAAAATTAGGGTTTTTTTCTGCCTCAAAGATCTTAATTAATAAAAATATAAAATTGTTTTACAGACTTTGTGAACAATATTAGATTTATTTTGAACTTTGAAATTGCTGGGAGGATGGAAGAGCAGAGCCATCCCATCTGTATGCCTGTATCACTATCAGATTCAAATCTACTATGTGGATATATTGCAACGTCAACTTATAAGGTTTAAATTACAGTTGACGGCCATATCTAGTTTCATGTTGTCCGGATGAAATTACTCTGGGTTTCACGGTTTCGTATCAATTTAAGGGTCTAGAGATTTCAGCTCGAAGCCTAAGTACTGAGGCTTGCTCGGCCCTGCTTTGGAAGGCAATTCTGAATTTTAAATTTCGATTTTAAGAATCAGTTTAGACAGGTAGTTTCATGATTTGGTATCAGTTTCAGCCTTTCAGGTAGAGTAGTTGCACATTTGACAGCAATTCACAGCACTGGTAGTCTGATACTTTACACCCCCAATGCATCTGTTTTCTCACTGATTTTGCAGTACTTTTATCAGTACAACCCAGTTACTAACAGGATACACTGGCTGTAAAAAATGCTGATACTATTCTAAGACCTTGAACGATTAATGTTCACACAATTGCAGCTCTCATGTTAGTTTCATAACTTGCTGCTGTTGTTACCTGAATTCTTGTTTTTGTTTAAAAAATGTGGCCATTTTTTAAAGCGTTTCACTGAAGTGTGTATTGCAAAGAAAAATAGCTTGATTCCCTACCTGCTTCGCCAAATTTCATTATGTAATAAAGCAAAATGTGATAGCATTTTGGATCGTTTCTGTCCATATATAGGATCATTTCTCTCACAACCAAAATGTTGAACACAACTTAGAAACGCAGGCACGAGACCATGGTCTCAAGTCAAAAGGTTGGCTATTTTTACCATACCAAAATATTGACAGCTTCAATATCAATAGTATAAAGTGAGTGCTTGTTTTTCAAATTCTTATACTATCAAATTTGATTGTTCCAAAACTTACTAAGGTTTGCGAAGTGAGCGTAATTCAACTAGTTAGATTTATTATCGTAGAACAAGTCTACCTAGACTTAAGTTCTAGACTTGACACAAGTACTTGTATTTACGGCTAATTTCTTAGTGGTAGAATATCGAGGATAATGATATGTCCATGGTAACTTTGTCAAAGTGTTTCTAAGAAAGAAATTTTGGCACCAATCAAAAAGGCCTGCACTCGAACCATGTCAACAGTTATCAAAAGAATCATATGTTTTTGGTTCCGACCGACGCATCACGGGGTCTCGTCGTGTTCTTTTGGTGCGCCGAACACGTTTAAACTGATCCACGTGGTGAATCTAGCATTCTAGCACCACAAGAGGTTGTCCAAGAAAAGAAGATTATATATAGAAGCTTTATAGACAGAAACTTTTAATATAGAAATACTATACATATAAGAATTTGGATCTGAATCCAATATACTACCTCTACCTCCATATTTTAATGTATGACACCGTTGATTTTTTAATCAACGTTTGACCATTCGTTTTATTCAAATATTCTTTAAGTATGACATAAATATTTTTATATTTCCATAAAAAATTTGAATAAGATGAATGGTTAAACGTTGTTCGAAAAGTTAACGGTGTCATACATTAAAATACGGAGGGAGTATAAACTTTTTAGGGTATAGTTTTTCAAACACACACGCACACGGGTGTTTAAAAAGGAAAGCGAGGGCTTTCGCGCGCGAAACGTTCTTGCGGTTATACTGTATCGCCTTCCCAGTTTTTCCGGCGCACGACGCGTTGCAGCATCGATTCCGACTGCGGTTTCCTTTTTTTTTTTTCTCCAGCGAGCCGCCGCGTCGTCGTCTCCGCCGCCGATCCGCCCCGCCGCCGCCGCCGCAGATGGCGGCGCGGAGGCTGACCAGCCGCGTCGCTGTCGTGGACGAGGACAGGTGCAAGCCGAACAAGTGCGGGCAGGAGTGCAGGAGGAGCTGCCCCGTCGTCAAGATCGGTAAAAAGCTTAAAAACCATGGGATCTCCTCGTGATTTTTTATTCTTGTTTTTTTTCTCCTTACCTCGCCGGAATTTCTATAGATTTCTCATCTAGTCTCCAACCCGATCAGATCTGACATTCAGGGTTGTTGTACGTAGATGATGGTTGATTTGATTGTGTCGAGTTATTTCTGGCACGGAAATTGCGTCCTCACACGATCAATCTGTCGAATTGTGTGTGGTTTTGTTTCTTGAGCAGGGAAGCATTGCACTCATCTCTGAAGAACTCTGCATCGGCTGCGGTATTTGCGTCAAGGTATTATAATACTGTGATCGATTATTCGCAATGTGTGTCCCGCTAAGCTAAAACCCTATATAGGATCAATCTTCTCGCTTGTGCGATGTTGATTTGTTTCTTCAGAAGTGCCCATTTGGTGCCATCACCATCATCAACCTTCCAAAGGAATTGGACAAAGACACCACCCATCGCTTTGGCCAAAACAGCTTCAAATTGCACAGGTACTCTTCTTCCATCTCAAGATCAAGGTCCTAATTTCAAATCTCCATAAGAGTGAATTTCGGATTGGGTTGTTTGAGGGGCTAAGTTCCCAATTTAAATGGTTGCATATATCCGATTGGATATAGAGGCCGGTAAAAATTATCCTTCTGTAAAAAAGAAGATCTGACCCTGTTCTTTTCAGATTATTCACCGGATTATCGATTATTCTTCTACTGCATTGTTTGGACCCCTTGTTATTAAGTTATTTTGTTAAGTATATCTATTGAAGTATTTAATTTATCACTATAATCGAGTAGATAATCCGTTGTAATAATCCGCTCAATAATCTAAATTAAACTAGGCACAGACTATTACTGATTCACCTCTTCTTGTAGGCTGCCGGTCCCAATACCTGGTCAAGTTTTGGGCCTTGTTGGGATCAATGGGATTGGCAAGTCCACAGCACTTAACATCTTAGCTGGACAGATCAAGCCTAACTTGGGAAGATATGATGTAATCTCTGCCTTCACTTTTCATATCAACTGCACAAAGATGTTTACTTAGCTCTACATTTCTTGTTCTTCTCCTTGTTAAATATATATACAAGCTAATGTACTGTATAGTTGGCCCATGTCCAGCCCATCGGATGTCCAGCCCATTGGATCTTGTATCTTGTATATACTTCTCTATTGCTAATACTATTGTTAGGTTGCAAGTTAGTTAAGATGGTATCAGAGCAATGGTCTGAACCCTAGCTGCCAATTCCCCATCGCCGGCCGGCGCGGCGGCGTGCCGCCGGCGTTTCACTGCTAAGCAACCTCCTCCAATTCATATTTATCCACTGCTCCACTGTCCTTTTCACCGTCGCCTCGTGGGCTATCGGACCCCAGCGCGATTTGTCGTTGACCGCCGTCGCCGTCGCCGCCGCCGCGACTTTGCCCTTACCCGCGTGGGCCTGCAGTTGCGCAGCCGCGCGGGGACGTCGTCCAACTCTCCGTCCGCCGCTGTCTGCGCGCTTGACCATCTACATCGTTGCTGGCTTGCTGCACAGGTCGAGGCCCTGTTCCTCCCATTGCCTGCTGCGGTGCTGCCGCTTCTGCTTTCTGCTTCCAGAAAATCAGAGGAGGAGGCTCTCTGCTATCAGATAAAAGATCAGTAAGCCTGCACTTTCTTGGTGGTACTGCATACCTGCTCTACTAGTTCAACTGGGACACGGATTTTGCTTATCAACTTGGATTGGTTCAGGACTCAAGTAGCTGAGTTGCTAGTGATCTTTGGTTTATACAATTGTTTTGATATATCATGGTGTCAGATGGAATTCTTGGTCCCTATCCATGTGCTGGTATTGCCTCATGTTCATCTATATCAACTGTTACCCCAATTGCCTCCCAACCATGGATTTTGGACTCAGGAGCCTCCTTTCATATGTCATTTGATGATTCATGGCTCACATCATGCCGTCTGGTTAAAAATGGTGCCACCGTTCATACAGCTAATGGAACATTGTGTAAGGTTACTCATCAGGGGTCTATCTCTTCTCCTCAGTTTACAGTACCTAATGTGTCACTTGTTCCAAAACTATCCATGAACCTCATTTCTGTAGGTCAACTCACAGATACAAATTGTTTCGTTGGATTTGATGATACTTCATGCTTTGTGCAAGATCGCCACACAGGAGCTGTCATTGGCACCGGACATCGTCAGAAAAGATCCTGTGGGCTTTATATCCTTGATAGCTTGAGTTTGCCTTCATCCTCCACTAACACACCTTCTGTCTATTCTCCTATGTGCTCTACAGCTTGTAAATCCTTCCCACAGTGGCACCATCGTTTGGGTCACTTGTGTGGCTCTCGCCTAGCAACTCTTATCAATCAAGGCGTTCTTGGTTCCGTCCCTGTTGACACTACCTTTGTTTGCAAAGGTTGTAAACTTGGTAAGCAAGTACAGCTTCCATATCCTTCCAGTACCTCCAGGTCGAGTCGACCTTTTGATTTGGTTCACTCTGATGTTTGGGGAAAGTCCCCCTTTCCTTCAAAAGGAGGCCACAACTACTATGTTATTTTTGTTGATGATTATTCTAGATATACATGGATCTATTTCATGAAGCATCGGTCTCAGCTAATTTCTATATATCAGTCTTTTGCCCAGATGATTCATACTCAGTTCTCTAGTGCAATTCGTATTTTCCGCTCAGACTCCGGAGGAGAGTATATGTCAAATGCTTTTCGTGAATTTTTGGTATCTCAGGGCACTCTTCCTCAACTTTCTTGTCCTGGTGCTCATGCTCAAAATGGTGTTGCTGAGCGTAAACATCGCCACATCATTGAGACTGCTAGAACTCTTCTCATTGCATCATTTGTTCCAGCTCATTTCTGGGCAGAGGCTATTTCTACAGCTGTATATCTCATCAACATGCAACCATCTTCTTCTTTGCAAGGCAGGTCCCCTGGAGAAGTGTTGTTTGGCTCTCCTCCCCGCTATGATCACCTTCGAGTTTTTGGTTGTACTTGCTATGTTTTACTAGCCCCACGTGAGCGCACCAAGTTGACAGCCCAATCAGTTGAGTGTGTTTTTCTTGGATATAGTCTTGAGCATAAAGGCTATCGCTGTTATGATCCTTCTGCACGTCGAATTCGTATCTCCCGAGATGTTACTTTTGATGAGAACAAACCCTTCTTCTATTCTTCTACTAATCAGCCTTCTTCTCCAGAAAATTCCATCTCCTTCCTTTACCTTCCACCTATTCCTTCACCAGAGTCTTTACCTTCATCACCAATAACCCCATCACCATCGCCTATACCTCCTTCTGTACCTTCACCAACATATGTACCACCTCCACCACCTTCCCCTTCACCCTCACCTGTATCGCCTCCACCATCACACATCCCAGCTTCCTCATCACCTCCACATGTTCCTTCCACTATAACATTAGACACTTTTCCTTTCCACTACAGTCGTAGACCCAAAATTCCTAACGAATCACAACCCTCCCAACCTACCCTTGAGGATCCAACATGTTCCGTTGATGATTCATCTCCTGCTCCGAGGTACAACTTGCGTGCTCGTGATGCTCTTCGTGCACCTAATAGAGATGATTTTGTTGTTGGGGTTGTGTTTGAGCCATCTACTTATCAGGAGGCAATTGTTTTACCTCATTGGAAATTGGCTATGTCAGAGGAGCTTGCTGCACTAGAGCGTACCAACACGTGGGATGTTGTCCCGTTGCCATCTCATGCTGTTCCAATCACCTGTAAGTGGGTTTATAAAGTTAAGACCAAATCAGATGGTCAAGTTGAGAGATACAAGGCTCGCCTTGTTGCGCGAGGTTTCCAGCAAGCTCATGGTCGAGACTATGATGAGACATTTGCTCCTGTTGCTCATATGACTACGGTGCGTACTTTAATTGCCGTGGCAGCTACCCGTTCTTGGACTATCTCACAAATGGATGTCAAGAATGCTTTTCTTCATGGTGATCTTCATGAGGAGGTATATATGCATCCACCACCAGGTGTGGAAGCTCCACCAGGACATGTATTTCGCCTTCGGCGTGCACTTTATGGTCTCAAGCAGGCCCCTCGTGCTTGGTTTGCACGCTTCAGCTCAGTGGTACTTGCAGCTGGGTTTTCTCCTAGCGATCATGACCCAGCACTATTCATTCATACTTCCTCCCGTGGTCGTACTTTGTTGTTACTCTATGTGGATGACATGTTGATTACAGGGGATGATTTGGAGTACATTGCTTTCGTGAAAGGGAAACTCAGCGAACAGTTTATGATGTCTGATTTGGGACCACTCAGCTACTTTCTAGGGATTGAAGTCACCTCTACTGTTGATGGTTACTATCTTTCTCAACACCGTTATATTGAGGATCTTCTTGCTCAGTCAGGCCTCACTGATAGTAGAACAACTACTACTCCTATGGAGTTGCATGTCCGACTTCGTTCCACAGATGGAACTCCTCTTGATGACCCCTCACGGTATCGACATCTTGTGGGTAGCCTTGTCTATCTTACTGTCACTAGGCCGGATATTGCTTATGCTGTTCATATCTTGAGTCAGTTTGTCAGTGCTCCGATTTCAGTTCACTATGGTCACTTGCTTCGTGTCTTACGATATTTGAGGGGCACTACAACTCAATGCTTGTTCTATGCAGCATCTAGCCCGCTTCAGCTTCGCGCTTTCTCGGACTCTACTTGGGCAAGTGATCCTATTGATCGTCGCTCTGTCACTGGCTATTGTATTTTTCTTGGCACTTCTCTCCTCACTTGGAAGTCCAAGAAACAAACAGCGGTATCTCGATCTAGTACTGAGGCTGAACTTCGGGCTCTTGCCACAACCACTTCAGAGATTGTGTGGTTGCGTTGGCTACTAGCTGATTTTGGTGTCTCTTGTGATGTCCCGACACCTCTTTTATGTGACAACACCGGAGCTATACAAATCGCCAATGATCCAATCAAGCATGAATTGACGAAGCATATTGGCGTTGATGCATCTTTCACACGTTCTCATTGTCAGCAGTCAACAATTGCTCTCCACTATGTGCCCTCCGAGCTACAAGTCGCTGATTTCTTCACCAAGGCCCAAACTCGAGAGCATCATCGGTTACATCTTCTCAAACTCAATGTGGTAGATCCACCTTGAGTTTGAAGGGGGGTGTTAAATATATATACAAGCTAATGTACTGTATAGTTGGCCCATGTCCAGCCCATCGGATGTCCAGCCCATTGGATCTTGTATCTTGTATATACTTCTCTATTGCTAATACTATTGTTAGGTTGCAAGTTAGTTAAGACTCCTTTCTTTGCAGGATCCACCTGATTGGCATGAAATCCTTGCGTACTTCCATGGGTCTGAACTTCAGAATTACTTCAAGCGTATGGTCGAGGATAACCTCAAGGTGCATGTTTTTTTACTCGATTGCCTTTCACCCTCAATGAAGTGTTTCTGCACTGTATCATCATGTAAATAAACTGCTGCAATACATGCAAATCATCGATGAAATCATGCATTTTTTTTTCTAGCAATCCACCTATGCTTTTAGTCATCAAGTGTCATCAAGTGTAGTGCTTTTCTCACCTTTTGTACTCCCCTCTGTACAGCCTATCATGAAGCCTCAGGTTGAGATCATGCACAAAAACCGGAATTCTTTTCAAGTAAGTGTAGGCCAACTACTTGACCGGAAAGATGAGAGGGGTATGAAAGATCAGCTGTGCAACGGCCTCCAATTGAACGAAGTTATTGACCGAAAAGTGGCAAAACTTTCTGGTGGTGAGCTCCAAAGAGTTGGAATAGCAGCAGCTGCCCTGCAAAGCGCGGATGTTTACATGTTTGATGAGCCATCAAGTTATCTTGATGTTAAGCAGAGGCTTAATGCTGCACGAGTCATAAAGTCCCTGCTTAGAACAAACAGGTAATTTGTAACCTTCTTTCATGATTAATCTTACTACTTTTTTGACTGATAGCTTCAAGAAATTTACCATCATTTGCCTCCCTAATTTTGTTTTCAGCTATGTTATCGTGGTGGAACATGACTTGAGTGTCTTAGATTACATGTCCGACTATATTTGCTGCTTATATGGGTAACCTGGAGCTTATGGTGTTGTTACGCTGCCATTTTCGGTTCGAGAAGGTATCAATATTTTCCTGGCTGGATTTATTCCAACAGAAAATCTTCGGTTTCGAGATGAATCTCTTACATTCAACGTAAGCTAACATATGCACATAGGATTTGAGATCATTTTTCAGTGATGAAACTTTCTTCTTTACTATATTCGTATTGTCCTTTCAGATTGCAGATGCCCAGGAGGATGCTGAGATTAAGACATATCAGCGGTACAAGTACCCTACCATGAGCAAAACAATTGGTAACTTCAAGCTCACTGTCATGGAAGGTGAATTCACTGATTCTCAGATTTTTGTGATGCTTGGTGAGAACGGAACAGGGAAGACCACATTCATCAAGATGCTGGTACATCTCTCTCTCACCCTTTCCTCCACCTCCCATCTCTCTGTCACTCTTATGAGTTCAAGTACCTCAAATGATACAAATAGATACTTTGCACTCTAGATTTATCTACCATTATTCAAGGTTGGAATAAGCATTTATAGCAGTGGTATGCACAATGTTGTGCCTGCCTCAGCAATTTTATAGATTGATTTGTGTCAAAAATTGCTGTTCGCTTAGCTAATGTGAACCCGGTGGTGCTGAAAACCTAATGGTATGGATACCATTGAGATAATGTTTGGTTGACAATGATGACTTTGGTTTAATGTAATTTATTTTTCTTTAGTTTCTATATTTAGCAGTCGTCTAAAAGCTTATTAGAATATTACTACCAGCTTTCTTAAAGTGTGTGAATTTTGTTTTCTTACGATATTAAGGGTTTTATACTTGTCTTTCTGATGATGATGCAAATATTTCTTCCAATTGCACATATAAAGATTTAAGTTATATCTGTTTCCTTGTCTTAACAACTATTAGCAATCCAATTTGCACTCGATAGTTGGAGCATTCAGTATCCTATGTTCACTGTTTATCATGACTCGACAGGCCGGGGTGGAGAAACCAGACACTGTGGACGGAATTGATATTGAAGTTCCTGAATTTTGTGTGTCCTACAAGCCACAGAAGCTTGCATCAACTTACCAGGGTACAGTGAGGCAATTTCTTCATGAGAAAATAAGGGATTCATACACTCATCCTCAGTTTGTGTCCGATGTCATGAAGCCACTAAAAATGCAACAACTCATGGACCAGGAGGTTCAGCATTTATCGTGTGGACAGCTCCAGAGAGTTGCATTATGCATTTGTCTTGGAAAGGTATTGTCCAATTTTACCTCAACTTTGCGTTAGTAGGTATCTGAAATTGAATGCTATTTACGGGAATAAACTCTATACTATTTCCATGCTCTATTGTTTCTAAAAGATCCAGGGACCAGGGTATGCCGTTTTTGCATGTTGAATATACTAAATGTCTTTCTCTCATGTTAGTATAGTGCATGTTAGGTTTAAATTCTAGCTTAATGTTTTGGATACTTATACCGTTATACGCAAATATTTATTCAGACTAAGGATGCAAATGCTGTCAGCTTATGGATACTAACTTCTTGGTTGTTTTTTCCAGCCTGCAGATATTTATTTGATTGATGAACCAAGCGCATCTCTCGATTCAGAGCAGCGTCTTGTTGCCTCAAAGGTTATCAAAAGATTTATCATGCATGCAAAGAAAACTGCGTTTATTGTCGAGCATGATTTCATTATGGCAACCTACTTAGCCGACAGGGTTATCGTCTACGAGGGACAGCCTGCTGTTGACTGTACTGCCAATGCACCACAGTCTTTGCTATCCGGGATGAATAAGTTCTTATCAGTAAGTGCAGCCATCATCCATCAACCAAGTTATAAACTTATAATAACTTACTATAATAGTACTAACTCAAGTTTGTTTCTTCTTTACTAACTTCATCTTTGTTTCCCTGCCCTAATTATTTCTCTCTTTTGTTAATTGTCATTGTGGATTTGTGGCAGCATCTTGAGATTACTTTTAGAAGAGATCCAACCAACTTTAGGCCACGGATAAACAAACTGGATTCTGCAAAAGACAGGGAACAGAAGTCTGCAGGATCCTACTATTACCTCTGAAAGTGGGCACAATTGTTGATACTTTGCTACTACCACTGTATAGCATTGTGCCTATGGTGCTTGCAGTTGAGGGAACAAGAGCGGGTTCGGAAAATGGGGCGCAGCGGAACAGGAAGGAAGCCATGTTTGGACCATTTCATGGAACAAGTAAGAAGATAGGACAACACAAACAAGAGCAGGAACATGGTAACCTCTTGTGGAATCTACTGAAATCACACAGAGGAAATGCAGGAACTGCTGAGGTGGTTAAATCAGATCAAGGATCCTACACCAAAAGTAGTTTGGAGATGGATTACACGATGGCGCGGAGCATTATGTCGGTAGGGAATCCAAAATTCTACAAAATTAGGCATGATTGCACTATAGGTGTTTAGGCCTTGTTGAGAATTATCTTATGCTCTTTTGTCAACTTTTGTGCAGGTCTTCAGACTCAAGGAATTGCAGAATGATCAGAGGTCCCCAGCCTTTTAGAATGCCTCCTAGTATGCATGATGGTAAAGGAATTCTCTACTGGTAGGAAGTCCATAATTCCAAAAAATGTTAAGCATTACCAGCATTACGCATTTACGCCTCTTATGCTGATTTATCAAATTTTAAGCAGGACTTCAGCCTCAGCGATCGCAGGACGCGATGAGATGTCGTGAAGTCATCAATGCCACGGCGGATAATGTTTGCGGGAGTTTGGTCAAGAAGTGAAAGAACTTCATGGGATTTCGTTTGTTGCTGGTTTTTAGACTTTAGAATGCTATTTGGGTTTATGGAATGTTTTGTGAACTTCTGAGATGTTTTATCATGTGGCGCGCCAGGTTTTTTGTCCCATAGATTGTATTCGAGATTTGAATACAAACAGTGGGTTTTCCTGGCGCCTTGAACCAGCAATTTATTTGCTATATGCTGGACTTGATTTAACTAAAAACGAGTATTGAGTTGTTTTATATGGTTGGTGCGTTTGTTTTGTTCTGGGAATCCAGGAGTGGTCAGGTTCACCTGTGAAATCTACTTCAGTAAAATGTGACCAAATTGAGTATTATACTATTATTTTATACTATTTGAGTGTACTGTTCTGGAATCTTAAAAGTTATAAATGCTGGATCCTCAATCTTAATCTTCAAAACTGTTCAATTTGACCATTCATCCATCTTGCTTTCTGGTTGTTTTGATGCTGTGAGCCTGCGAGGTTGAATCACATCCAGAGAAGTCCTGCAACAGCCTATTTGTATTGAGAAATATGTGGTTTAGACAGTGAAAAGTTGTTCCATGTAGAGATTTAGGATGATAGAAAATGTGAAGCTGTTTCACTGCGCCATCCCTGCTGTATCAGATACAAATCTTACAGACATGGATGGTCTTCACCTCGATCGAGCTGCAGCTTTATCTCGTTTCATGATTTCGTATCAATTTCAGGTTAGAGATTTCAGGAATTTTTTTCATTTTTAAATTTTTTTAAAAAATATTTACAGAAATAATCTATCGTCGGGAAAATTTACAAAAATAGACCCTGCCGCCCTAGTGGAGGGCGGCAAGCTGACGTGGCAGACGGCGGCTCGACGGCGCCATGTGCGCATTTTGCGCTTTGGTCCTTACCGCCCTTACAGAGGGCGACAAGGGGTGAAATACAATTTGCCGAGCTGGATCGAAGCATTTGGCTAGTTTTTTTTGCATCTAGGCCCCTTGCCGCGACGCAAAAAAACCAGCCAAATGATTCTTTCCAGCTCGGTTGATAATGGCCCTTCCCGGGCTGGCTTTTTTGCATGGAGGCCCCTTGCCGCCCTGGTAGTGGGCGACAAGGGTGTTAATGCAAAAGGTTCAACGTTTTCAATCGGCCGTCACCGCCCGTCGAGCCATCATCTGCCACGTCAGCTTGCCGTCCTCCAGTAGGGCGGCAGGGTCTATTTTTGTAAATTTTTTCGATGATAGATTATTTCTGTAAATATTTTTTAAAAAAAATAAAAATGAAAAAAAATCGAGATTTCAGCTCAAACTTTAACCGCCAAGGCCCGCTTGGCCCTTGTTTCGATTATAATCCAAATCGGCTTTGATTTTTAAGAATAATTTTAAGTAGGTTTTTAGTGGTTTCATGATTCATATATCACTTTCAGCCTTTCATGTTGAGTAGTATAATTTGCAGACGGAAAGGCGACTACCACCGACCCCCCCCCCCCCCCAAGTAATTTTATCAGTAAATCCATTTACTAACGGGATACTACGCAATCTAAGACTCTGAACAATGCATATTTTATCAGTCAATCCATTTACTAACAGGATACTACGCAATCTAAGACCATCCATTTACTAACAGGATACTACGCAATCTAAGACCATGAACAATGCATGTCACACAGGTACACGAGCAAAGTTGACTCAATCTTGCTGCTCTCTTCTTAGTTTTAAAATTTCTGGTATTGTTAACTCGTTAGCTGAATCTTGCTTTGCATGGAGAGAGAAGAATGTGATATTTTCCATACTTCGTATGGAGTACCACTTCTCTCACAATCAAACTGTACTTTACAATTCAGAACGCAGGCACACAACACATGATCTCAAGTCAGGATGCATTTCTTGCATGTCAGCATTAGTTTATCAAAAGAATACTTTGATCAACTTGTTTACATACTCTCCTTTACGCAGTTGCTCTCCTACCCTACTGCTACGAAGAACAAAGGAAAGAAAAAGGAATGACGCCAGGTGCATGTCTCAAAATCTTGGCAGCCAGGTCCTTAAGATGGTATGTACAGCGGCAGCGAACTCCCCATTCTGTCGACAAATCATTCCCTCTGTAGTCAGGGCAAAGAATTCATGTCATATACCAGAAATAAGCTCATGGGTCTCTGCAATGCGCAACAAGAAGAAATATTGCAGACTTACCAGCGCTGCTGAGTTTTCCTGTATTCAGTGAGCACCGGGAACATGTTCTCAAAGGCAGCGTAAATCTCTTTGCGGTACTTAGCTCCAGTGAGAACAATCTTGCCAGAGACAAAAATGAGAAGCACAATCTTTGGCTGCTTCATCCGGTAAATCAGCCCAGGGAAGAGCTCTGGCTCATACTGCAAATTAAGCAAGTGAACAGTCAAAATAATGACATGCATGATGAAATATGGGTAAATGACACACTGATATTTATCAGACAACTGGCATCAGTTTCAATGGAAATTCAAAGGATGCATTCTGAGACAATGTAAAAAAGTAAGTAATCAACTTACACTAGAGAATGCGCCATGAGAATAAGCAAGGCCCTCCAGGCGAATAGGAAATTTGACATCACATGAACCAACAATGTTCTGGATCTTGAAATCCTGCATCATGTTCCAATGCGTCAAGCTGATATAAGCAAGGACAATCAATCTGAATGAATTGATGTGAGCTAGAGTGGCATTACCTTGAACTTTGCTGGGAAGCCAAGCTTTTGGACGATTCGCGCATACTGCGCTAACAAATAATCAGATAAAAATTGTTATAGAGCAATTCAGCAAAAGCCGAAAATAGGATCAGTGAACAATTTCTCCCTGCATGATGTAAACAACAAGCGTTCCTAAGCATAAATAGTGATGAAACAATATGACTATTGGCTATTACCTTCCTCGCAGCAAGCTTTGAATGGTCTTCGCTCTTTGCTCCAGTGCAAACCATCTTTCCCGAAGCAAATATCAGGGCTGTTGTCTTTGGGTCCCTTATCCTCATGATAACTGCAGCAAAACGCTGTCCGAGCACAAATGATACAGTTAGATTATAGACATGACACAAATGATACAGTTAGATTATAGACATGACATGTAATTCCGTGTTTTGTTCCTGAAAGAAACTGAATAGAAAGCATCAGAAGCTGAAGCTATACCTTTGGGTTGTACTCTGCATTACGAGCCTGTAGAGCGATTTTTTTCAGATCCAACCTGCAGTCCAGATTTACTGTCGAAACAATGTTCCTGAGACATAACCAACATAACGATTAGAACATATTGGGGCAAGGCAGATGCCAATCGTCTTTTCCAGCACATATATATCAAGATAATAATATCAACTTGTTCCGGCAGAGCAAATTGGCAGCAACTTTTGAAATTTAAAACGCGTCTGATACCAACAACCCCCAAGTTAAACAAACCCAATAAGACAGTATTCTTAACCCATGTACACCTTACTGTTCTTTGATTCAATTCAGCACAATGTTTTATTTATGTTCTATCCTATACTATTCCCAAATCCAACCACTTATATTTCTCAGCACTTAACTATTGGGATTACCATTGTGCGAATTAATACTCAACTACAAATACTACACAATAATTCGAACAGGTCTTTTATAATTTCCACATCTTATATTAGAATAGTCAGGCAAGAAACCAAGACCCAATCCTTGATCGTTTTAAATTAGATCAGTGTCCCCTCCCCCTTTGCTAAATTCCAACACATCAAAGCACCAAGAACGAGCACGAATCGGCCTCCACATCAGATAAACTCGCACTCCTCCAAACCAATGCAAGATCGTATCAGATCAAGAACCCGCAGGTTTCCCCCAACCCTAACCCGTGCAAGTCCAGATCTACAAAATCCCCGTCAAGTTTAGCTGTTACTCCCCACCACCACCACCACCCCAAACCCATCAAGATCCACAAGCCCCGTCAAGTTCACATCCCACATTCAGATATCCCAGATCCAGATCATCCAAGAACAACCCCCATCGTTCTCGTCAAGCCTGCGACGCGGGGGTGGCGGGGGGGACTCACTGGAGGGTGGGGACGATCCCGGAGGGGTGCTCGACGAGATCCACCGGCTCCGCCCCATCACCCCCCACCGCCGACTCGCCTCCTCCTCCTCCTCCGCTCGTCCCCAGCCCCAGCGCCATCGGATCCACCGCCGCGGCAGCCATCCCCCCCTCCTCCTCCGGAGGCAAAGATTTTTCAAACCGAGCCGCCTTTATACGGAGGTGGTGAGATCGGGGAGGGAGGTGGGGATCCGGGTGGGTGGTGGTGGTGGCGGCGGCGGAGGCGGATCGCGGGTTAGGGTTTGGTCGTGTCGGGAGGAGAGAGACGCGAGGGGATTTATACGGAGGAGGGGGAGGCGGGTCGCGGGTATATATAGGCGGGGATGGTGGGAGGGAGAGTCCGGGTCGGTCGCGCCCGGTAAGGACTGGGTCGGTCGGGCGGGCGGGCGAGAGGCCGCGCACTCGCGGACGCGGACGCGGAGGCCGCATCCGACCCGGTATGAGGGCCGTCGCGTGTGGGGGCCGCACCCGCAGCCGAGTCGGGTTCTGCGGCGCCGCTTGGCCTAGTTTTTTTCTTTTTATTTTTTTTTTACTTTTCTTTTTGTTAACCAAAGGTTTGGAGTTCGGATTAAGCCTTAAAATTGAAATTGTTAAGTTCGCGAGTTCGGATCTTGAAATTGAAATTGTTTTTTTTTAGCCCCCTCAATGTTATTGTTATTTTTTTACTTTTCTTTTTGTTAACCAAAGGTTTGGAGTTCGGATTAAGCGCGAAGATCCGAACTCGCGAAAACATGAAATTGTTAAGTTCTTATAATAGAATGCACTCACTTACCAAGTTATTGTATTTGCATGTTAAATTATTTAAGTTATTGTACTATATCAATCCAGATAGGGACTAGAAAATACGCGCGGCAAAGCTGCACGGAAGGGTAGATGGGCCAGCCCAATTAGTCCTAAGGCTAAAACCCCGTCTTCTCCTCACCTGTATCATGAGTCGCGAGGCTTCATGCCTTTTTACCAAAGTGATAGTGCAAAAATGCTACTTTGATGGTAAAACTGCAACATAACATGGTCTTGCGTCTTACTAACAATTACGTATGATTCATCTCAGATTCTATGCGACATATTTTTAACCACAAGCAAGACAAATGTCTGGATCTATAGTTCTAACTTGTATCCATAGTGCTAGCCAACTGCACAAATCTGCAGGTTCTTAATTTGTCAACAAACAGTTTGTCAGGGAAATTACCTGATCTTTCAACATTTGCTCAAAATACTATATCAACAAATGCTTTTTATGGACCATTTACAATATGGGTTGGCAAATTGTCAGGCCTAACTGAATTGGGCCTAGGAGAGAATAACTTTGATGAAAGTGATGTTCCTGAAAAAAGGTGATTGCAGTAGTTTATTCTCTTCAGTTGACTATCTGCACAGCATAAGAAGGCAAAGGAAATGAAACGCGCAAATGAGAGGAATACAAAAATATAGCAAGGCAACTATTGGTGTCCAACAAATGGAAGGAAGAATGAAGCTGCAATGCTTTTCTACCTGAAGCTGCTCTTTCTGGCTTATATTCAAGCTAATATTCTGTTAGCACTCACGCTGCAATACATATGAAATATCTAACACCCAATCATGATTGAATGCCACCTTGCTATACCTACAAACTTGTCTGAATAACACAATCAACAATTTATATGGGACTATTTCCTGTAAGAACTGATTAGGAGTGGGCACCACTATCCCAGCCGGAGTAAAGCATGGATAATTGTGAAGAAGAAATTTATTGTGTAGAGCACTAAAGCATTTGCGAAACAAATGAATTGTGTAGTTGTTCCCTTTTTTTCAATTGTCATTCCAATTTTACCCATTATTTAAAGTACTAAATCCGTTCCTTTTTTATTAACATCCTAGAATACGATATATCAGCCTTTCTAAAGTTTAACTGTTAATAATGTTTGTAACTATAGAGGGTCTCTTTGTGAAACAATAAATAATAACATAGTGAAGGACAAAACAGTTCACCTGCAATGCAGGTCTTGAAAATTTCGTTGTGATTGATTGTCTGTCCTTTGGACTTCTTGTGCATATCAATAGATATGTTTAATGAGTACATACATACAAAGTACATAATTGGCAACAGGTGGAATAGTTTGATGTTTAAGTGTGTTCTGCCAAAAAGAAAAAAAAGACTGAAGGATCTCAATATCTGATTTTCTATCCCAATGAACAGACTACGGTTTTGTTACTCTGATTTAATTGTGAGTCTAAGTAAAGTATAATGTTACATGTTTCTGTGGTCAAACTATAATCCAATCTATTTTATTACTGTTAATATTTAACTATCAAATAGATTATGTTTTCAAGTAGCAATAAAATTCTGCTTATGTTCAAAAATCACATGTCTTCCTAGTCAAATTATCCTCCAACCTATTTTTGATAATTGTCAAGTATATAGCTATCAAACATATTCTGGTTTCAAATATCAATAAATCATATTTCAAGCTACTCCTTTTTTTTGGTGAAATAAACATTGTATGAATATTATTTTACAAAATAGCAAAGAAAAAGTAACCTATTTAAATACATATGTGCAAGCTTAGCTAGATATATGAATATAACATAATGCCAATTACAAAGTTATATTAAATGCTTCATTACACCTATTAATAATTGGTACGGCTAGATGTTAGAGGACTGAAAATTGAAGGATCTCAATATTTGCTTTTCTATCCCAATGCACATACTACAGTATCGTTATTTTCCTTCATAAATGCAAATACATATATCTGACATAAATATGCTTTCCTTCGTATAGAAACTAATGCATTCTCAGTTAGTCCTACTGATCAAGAATTGGACTGGTGGGAAATTATTTAAGTGATAATGCACTAAAGAAAGGATCTGCATCGTATTATGATATTTGCATTGCATCTACAATGTAGAAATAAGCCTAACATAATAAGTATTAGGAGAACCTTACCTGGTGTACTTGAACTCGAACTCAGGAAGCGTGTCTAGATGGAGGATGGGGCGCTGGTGGAGAGGCGTGGAGGTGGCAATGGTGGTGGAGATGAGAGGCAGCGGCGATGGAAATAAGAATGAGACATTCTAATACTGAACTCGCCCTTAGTATGCTTTGCAAATGAAACTTTAGTTTCCCCAACTGGCCATCTGTATATTGCAATAGCACTTAAATGAAATCAATTCCAATCCTGGAATAGTACCGTCATTATCAGGCTTCATCACGTGGAGTAAAATTTCTAGTAGTGTTCAACAGTTTAACTTAGGAACTTATTTGGTTTAACAATCAATGAAGCTCGGTATGGTCATTATCAGGCTTCATCATGTGGAGTAAAATTTCTAGTAGTGTTCAACAGTTTAACTTAGGAAATAATTTGGTTTAATAATCAGTGAAGCTCGGTATGCTCTTTGGCTTATCACCATAGATCCAACAATAAAGCTGGTTCTTTGTACAGGACCTGATGCCTATGTGTTTGTGTGGCATTGTGTGTTGAGCTTGTGTATCTAATCGATTTTACCTCTGTTTTCGCATTGAGCACGTGCTGAACACATTCTCTCTTCCTCCGTACTGATTCCTTCATCACCTCCATCACTGCTGCCTTTTCCCTCCACAGCAACCTGATTACCTAACCAAATTATAGTCACCAAGAAACCATTAGCAATGCAAGCAAGTTACGGATGGACATCGGGTGGCAAGCAGCAGCCTCCTGTCCTGTTCATCCTGGTTTCTTCACGGATACCATGACGAGTAGAGCTACCTCACCTATACTTACTTCTCGTTGTCCTTGTTTTCAGCTAGTCGCATCTTGCATCCCCGCCATCTTTCTTGCTTGCGTTGCCCGTAATTGTTAGTCGACGCACCTGGTGGTGTCGACGACAAGCTCCTCCTCTCCATTAGGCACGACGATGGGGGAATGGATGTGGCGACGGCAAGGCACGGGACGGGGAGGACGGCAAGGTGCGACAGCGCTTGGGTGGCGGCCGTCCAGGTCGACCGCTACGCCGGCGGATCGAGCGCTTCAATATTGAAATAGGGGAGACGACGTAGGTCCGGACGGGCGGTGAGGTGTGACACCGGACGGATCAGCGAGGGGAGAAGCAGCAGCATCGTAGGGGTTTGTCACCGACGCCCAGCTGTTACCCAATCCCCGCACGCCGCTGCCGAGCTCCTCGACCCATCTAGCGACACGGAGGAGGAAACGACGTCTAAGAGGGCGGCGCGCCGGCGCGTGGGAGGAGAGGACCCCACCGGCGGATGGGAGGGAGGGAGGAGATCGCCTCCCCGGCGAATTGGGAGAGGATGGTGGTGGAGTAAAGGCCACCGCCGTCGAGCTTGTTCCTGCACGGAGAGCTCGTCCTTGCGCTCCGCCCCGCAGAGACATTTCCGTCGCCTCGAGCCACGCCGTCCCGAGCTGTTGCCGTCGCCGGAGAGAGGAGGAGGAGATGAGAAGCGCCGGCCGGGGGAGGAGAGGCCGAGAATGGCCAGGTCACGGTAGGGACAGAGCTCTTTTGCAGAAAAAACCCTCAAACATGGTATATCACAATGAAGTCCACCACAGCGATCTAACACCGTCGATCCACGATCCGACGGCTGCGAGAGGGGGCGAATGCTGCAATCTCGCCGCGCCACGTGGAGGCCCTATTTGCACGGGAATCCGCGCAGATTTCGATATTTAGAGATGGATCCAAAAAAAATTGAAAGGGTGACTCATCTCCATCATCCTCCTTCAACCTGAAAGTGCATTAATCCCCCTAGTGGGTTTTGGTGATTAATGACAAATATGGTTAAGAGACTAATGAGTTCATTGAGTAACTTCAGGTGCATTAGTCCAAGGTGTAGAAAATGGATGCTTGGAGACCCCCAAAAGTATAAAATCAAAGCGGACCGGAACTCGAGAAGTGCATAGGATAGTTTATTTATTGCAATCGAGTTTTTAGGAAAAACCGTACTATTAAGAGGGGTTCCAGGTGATGCTCTGAGATATGTCAAGTGCTCTTAGTGTGAACCAAGTGACAAGTTTCCCTAGGAGTTATTTTTGCAAATACTCCATCTGTCCAAAAATGCAAGTCCGGGACTTCCTGTCTTCCAGGTTTTGAAGTTCCGGTCTTGTGAAAAAGATTTTCCTAAGTGTGGTCCAGAAATTCCTGTATTCCAGGTTCGGAACTTCCTGTCTAATTTCCAGTTCAAAAATGTGAGTAATGGCTAGATAACGTTACCTAGCCATTATACTTAACCAACTCGTTTCCAGCTCGTTCTTTGGCCATTCCACTTTCACTTTTCGACCCTAGAGCTGTTGCTAGCCTCTC